CCACCCAGTTTCCACACCACTTCTTGCTCCCACCTCCACATCCTCTGTCCTCAAACACTCCTCGCTCCCAGGTCATCTCCCTTTCCCCTGCTAATCCCATTGCTCAGGTAGTTCCTTTCCCCCAGATAAACTCCACCTTCCAGCTCTCCCATCCCCCTGGCCTTAATCTCAGGCTAGCCCACCTCCCCTAGGGTGTGTCTTTGCATACTTAGCCCTTTCTCCAATCAGCCCATTTTTTTGCAGGCCACTTACCCTCTGGGATTTTCTTTCTTCTGTCTAGCCTCTTCCCCCAGATCACACCCCCTCCACCTTCAGGACCCAGATACCTGCTGTTGTAGCCTTTGTGGTGGGGCAGACCTAGTTCAGGCCCCAGTCTGTGTGTCTTCCTCAAAGACTGGCCTTGAGCTTTACTTACCTCTTCTGTAAAATGGGTGTGTTCACAGTTCTCACGCACAGCAAGGCGTTGTCCTGCCAGAGCCCTGTGGCCCCACTTCTACCTGGGTCCCTGGATGGTAGAGCTGGGGAGGGGGAGTCTCTGTTGGGGGCACCAGCTCAATCAGAGAAGCTCACTCAGGGGCTGGATATGGTTTCCCCCACCTCCCGCCGGGCTAGGAGGCTCTGCGGAAGATCATCACCACCCTGGCTGTGAAGAATGAAGAAATCCAGAATTTTATTTACTCCCTCAAGCAGATGCTACTGAACGTGGAGGTGAGGAGGGAGTGAGGGTAGGAGCCTTTCTGTTCATCTTTGTCCCTAGTGTTTCCATCTAGAAAAGGGATTTGGGCCTTTCTGGCCATTCTGACCCTCAGTGTCCTTTCCCAGGCAAACTCGGTCAAAGTGCAAGAGGACCTGGAGGCAGAGTTCCAGTCTCTCTTGGCCCCCCTGGAGGAACTGAAGGAGAGTATGCTCATGAAAATCAAACAGGACCGCGCCAGCCGCACCTACGAGCTGCAGGTAGGGCCAGGCAGGCAGGAAGGCTGCCCAGGGCCCAGCTGGCATCATCTCTTTCTAAACTTGCTCCTCCTTCAGTACCCCAACTTTGGAGATGCCCCTGTGTCTTCCGTGTCTAGAATCTGCAATCCCCATTCCTCACCCCCTCCTTGGCTGTCTTAATGACTTAGTGCAGCTGTTGGCTTTAAGGAACTAATGGATTTTCTCACACTTTAGGAGGCTGTTGGTAGGAGCTGTGTAGTTAGTTCCAACGCAGAGCAGCCCCATGTATGGCAGAACAAAATCACTTCTGGCTTTTGCGCCATCCTCACAATCCCCATATCTCCATTAGGGGCTTCTTCTTTTTCTCTAACCCTGTACTTTACCAAGCATGAATGATATCCTTCACCTGGTCTCTCTTGATAACATATCCAAAGTACAAGAGATGAAGTCTTAACAATCGTCACTTCTAAGGAAGATTCTGGTTGTATTTCATCCAAAACAGATTTCATCAGTCTTCTGGTGGTCCATGGTGTATATTCAGTGTTCTTTGCCAACACCACAATTGTTGTTGTTGTTGAGTGCCACTGAGTGGGTTTTGATTCATAATGACTCTGTATAGGGTTTCCAAGGAGCAGCTGGTGAGTTTGAACTGCCTACCTTTGCTGTTCAAACCGACCTTGTGGTCTAGCACATTATCCTACAGCGCCACACCAGGACTCCATAATTAGCCACCTGAAAAAGACAGAATTCAGTCTCTAGGGAAAGGCTTATAGTATAGAAAACCCTATGCCCAAATGGTATTAGAACCACATGTACAGTAAAATTTGGAGTCTGGTGTAGCGCTGCAGGATAATGTGCTGGAACACAAGGTCGGTTTGAACCTCAAGGTCGGTGCTTAAAGTTCACCATCTGCTCCTCAGAAACCCTATACAGGGCCGCTATGGGTTGGAACAGACTCAACAGCACTTAACAACAACAATAGTAAGATTTACAAAACACATCATTTTGGGGAACACAATTCAATCCATATATGATCCATCAGCCCCCCATATCCTCCTGCACTCTTTCTTTCTTTCTTTTTTTAAATGTTTTATTGTGAATTACGTGATAGTTTACATGGGAGAATATTAGTTTTACGTTCATCCTATCTATCGTATATTGTTTCATTGCCATGGTTACAGTCCCCTCCACGCATCATCAACCAATCAAAGGGTATATACACTACAAGCCTGCTCCCTGGTTGTCAGCACGCAGCCCCTCTCCCTCTCTGTGTCTGAAGTCCCCAGCTGCTCCATCTCTCCATGTCATCCTCTCTGCCTTCATCTCAGGCATCACTGCTTCTCTGGGTAGGGTCCCGCTTACCGCTTTTCTCCTTTGATGGTCCCAGGGATCTCCCCTCCTAGACTGAAAAGTTCATCACTCCCCTCCTAGCTACAAAATATCCACCTTTACATTTCCAACCCTCACAGTCAGTCCTGATAACAATTATTCACTATTGTATCACAAGAGACCGATCAGCATTTCCTTTCATCAGCACCACCTAGACAGATTGGATACTATTCAGTGGAGAGTCTACCTTCCTCCACGCCCTCTGGATCTAGGTTCCCTCTTGAAAGCTTGTAAGCCAGTCACTTCTTGCCTTTGTAGCCCCCCTACCCCCACTTTGGGTAGCCAATGTCCAAGTTGCCCATCCCTGTCTACTCTGTGTATAGAGGGGGTGCCTCCTATACTCTTTCTTGATCACCTCTAATTCATCCCCTTCTTTCTCTTTCCTGACACACTGTTTCCCAACAATTCCCAGATCTCATGGTATCCCACTAACTCAGATATCTCCCATAGCTCCCATGGGTCTCACACTCACTCCAAGCTGGGCGCCTTCAGACGGTAGCTACACATCCTGGGCCTTAAATCCCAGAGTCCCATCCCCAGGAATTGTGCAGTCTAGTGACCATCACCCTGTGTCCTGAAGGGAGCGGGGCAACCTAGGCTGAGGTGTCTGGCTCTGTGCCAATGTGTGGTACCATGTCACCCTTAGAACCAGCTGGCTGCCTGCACACGGGCCCTGGAGAGCTCTGAGGAACTTCTGGAGATCGCCAACCAGACCCTCCAGGCCACCGACAGTGGGGACTTTCCCCAGGTGAGCTCCCCAGATTCTGTACTTGGAAGGTCATCAAATAACATACAGGATGCCTTGTTAAACTTGACCTTCAGACCATCTATCAGTAATTTCTTAGTATAAATATGGTCCGTGCAAGATCGAGTATTAAATGTGTTCCAAATATTGCCTGGGACATACTTACACTAAAAATGAAATTAAAAATGAGTTGTTTCTATGAAATTTGTACATTAGAGCAAAGCATTTTAGTATACAAATGTTGCTGTGGGTTAATGTGCTGAACTGCAAAGTTGGTTTGAACCACAAAGGTTGGTGATTCATGCTCACCAGCTGCTCCTCAGAAACCCTTGTGCAGGGTCGCCATGGGTTGGAACTGACTCGATGGCACTTAACAATATATCTAATACAATGCTTAGAGGACATTTGTACCAATAGTGCATGGACTGGGACATAAACCAAAACCAATTCCATTGCTGTTTGATCCATTCTGACTTACAGCGACTCAGTAGGACAGAGTAGAACTGCCCCGTAGGGTTTCCAATTGGGGCTGGGTCATCTTTATGCGAATTGTCACAATTTCCTCTTGCCAGAGTGGTTAGCTGGAATCAAACCCCACACTTTTTGGCTAGCAGTTGAGTATTTTAATTACAGTGCCACAAGGATGTAGTTACACAAAAGTATTATTCTTTGTTTACCTGAAATTCAATTGGACATCAAATCATTTAAAATCACATGGTATTGTTGTTAAGTTCTGTTGAGTTGTTTCTGACTCATAGTGACCCCGTAGAAGGTCTCCAAAGAGTGGCTGGTGAGTTTGAACCACCAACCTTGCGGCTCAGATGACCTTATGGGGCAGTGATTATTCTGCAGTGCTACATCAGGACTCCAAAGATGACGTGAAACATACTAAAAATTGATTTGTTGTTTATCTGGAATTCAAATTTAAATTGTAAATTTCAGACTTAACAACGAATTCATTTTTGAATTAGTAGATCACATGCAGCATTTCATATAAGTATGTCCCATTACGGCATGGGAAGACCATAGAAGAATTGATGCGTTTGAGTTATGGGGTTGGAGGAGAATATTGAAAGTACCATGGACTGCCAAAAGAACCGACCAATCTGTGTTGGAAGAAGTGTAGCCAGAGTGTTCCTTGGAAGCCAGGATGGCCAGATATCATATTCTTTACTTTGGACATATTGTCAGGAGGGACCAGTCCCTGGAGAAGGAGATTATTTTTGGAAAAGTTGAGAGTCGGAGATAAAGAGGAAGACCCCCAGCGAGATGGAGTGGCACAGTGGCAGCATCAATGGGGGCTCAAGTGTTGTTGTTGTTATGTGCTGCGGAGTCGGTTCCAAC